GATGCAGATGCCTATTAAAATAAAGGTTTGTAATTTCAAGATTGTATTAGGAAATGCCTTAGGTGCTCTTAATAAGTTCAATGATGCAATTGTTTGCTATGATAAAGCAATCGAAATAAATCCAAATGATGCAAATGCCTATTAAAATAAAGGTTTGTAATTTCAAGATTGTATTAGGTGTAGCCTTAAAGAATCTTAATAAATACAATGATGCAATTGTTTGCTATGATAAAGCAATCCAAATAAATCCAAATTATGCAAATGCCTATTAATATAAAGGTTTGCAATTTCAAGATTGTATTAGGAAATGCCTTAGGTGCTCTTAATAAGTTCAATGATGCAATTGTTTGCTATGAAAAAGCAATCCAAATAGATCCAAATTATGCAAAGGCCTATTAAAATAAAGGTTTGTAATTTCAAGATTGCATTAGGTGCAGCCTTAAAGAATCTTAATAAATACAATGATGCAATTTTTTGCTATGATAAAGCAATCCAAATAGATCCAAATTATACAGATGCCTATAATAATAAAGGTTTGGAATTTCAAGATTGTATTAGGTGTAGCCTTAAGAATCTTAATAAATACAATTAGGCAATTGTTTGCTATGATAAAGCAATCCAAATAGATCCAAATAATGCAAATGCCTATTATAATAAAGGTTTGGAATTTCAAGATTGTATTAGGTGTAGCCTTAAAGAATCTTCATAAATACAATGATGCAATTGTTTGCTATGATAAAGCAATCCAAATAGATCCAAATTATACAGATGCCTATAATAATAAAGGTTTGTAATTTCAAGATTGTATTAGGTGTAGCCTTAAGAATCTTAATAAATACAATTAGGCAATTGTTTGCTATGATAAAGCAATCCATATAGATCCAAATTATGCAAAGGCCTATTAAAATAAAGGTTTGTATTTTCAAGATTAAATTAGGTTCTTTATTAACAAATATGAAGAAATACTCATTAGCTAAAGAAAATTATGAGCAGGCAATTAAATAGTGCAATTCAGAAAAAGATGAATTTAAACGGTTAATTATGGAATTAAATAATAAAAAATGATATATTCATTATTTAATGTTATTAATATCAGTTTACATTATTTCTTGAAATTTAATTATTGTTTTGATGCTTTTTATCCTTTCGTATGTTCACAATAATGACAAGCATTACCAGCATTTTCTTCTTCTGTAAAGTTTTAATATATCTATGTCGTTTACTCTTCAAATCCAATAGTATTAACTCTTATCTGAATTTATAATTTCTTCCATCTCAAATAAGCATTTTGCTATAATCAGAATTCAAATTCTTCAAAACTATTTTATTTTAAAGTAGATCCTAAATCAATTTGACCCAATCTCATTATAAGGTAAGTGCTTATTAAATTACTTCATAATTCAGCTATGATGAGAAGACTTTATTTTGTCTAGTATATTACTTTATTGGATAAATTTTTCTTGAGTGCTTTAGGAGGCCTAAAATTGGTTTTAGTTGCGAAATTATCGATTAAAAGTTAACTTAAATCCACCTAAAATCTTAAATGGCTTGTATTTTTCTAAGACTCTTTGCAATATCTGGATTAATCAAGGAAATTGATGTGAGATCAATCTTCTAATATTGATTTAAGGAAAAAGAATGACTTTGTATTTGAATTGGAATTACCTAATTGCGCAATTTAAGATAATGAAAGAAATGCTTAGATTAAGTAAGCACAGCTTGAAATTACTGATCCATTTTCAAAAAGAACTTTACAAATCTAATTTTGACATTCTTCAATAAGTTTACAAAAATGAAGAAGTTATAGAAGTGCTTGAACAATGCTTTCGAGTAACAGTTGCTTTAATACTCAATGATTCTATAAAAATATGCTAAAATATTATTTTGATGTAGCATAACATTAAATAGACTATGAATGGCTTCATAAGTTACTTCACTTATTGAGGATTTATGAAATAAAGCAAGCATCTTAGAGATAAACATTTAGTTCATATGGTAAAGGGGAAAATAATTTAATTAAGTCATAATATTTACCAACAACAAGGAGTCAATTCAATAGATGGAAACAGTAATAATAAAGTGCAAGACTTTTAACTTATTCTAACAATTCATAACAGGATATGGTCAAAAACTTTAATCAAATGAAATGGAGACTGAAAGGCAACTGATTATCATAGTGAGTTATTCTCATCTATAATAATTGCTTACCAATACTTTATGAAGATGGGTGTAGGTTCTATCCATTCGTAATTCAAAATGTTGGATTATTTTTTAACTTGATTTCTATAAAAATTCAATTAAAACAAAAAATTTGCAAAATTTTTTGGTAACATGTTGGGTAAAAATTACATCTTATATAATAAGTATTTAGTATTTAATTTTTAAATATCTCTCATACATACTATTCTAAGGCTGCTTAATATTATTAAGTAGTAATTTCTATAAGAAGGTATTCTTTTTTAGGAATTTTTCAGATAAAAATGATTCAAACTAAGCTCAAGTAAATATTAACTTTAAATTAAGTTAATTATACACTTTTGGGAGGCAAATTTCCTTAATTTTTTAATTCGGATTATCATATAGATGAATTTATTTTTTATTGTTTTTCACTAAACTGATTAAATCGAAAATGCTTTTAGCGTGCATTTCAAGTTGAAAACTGTAATGGAACTAAAATCTATAAATTCATTTGCAAATTTTCAAAACTCAATTACAACTTTGCACACTACATCTAGCAGCAGATTTTCTGTATTTATATTGACATGATATCCAAAATAAAATGCAATTTGTCATGTAATAAATAGAGAATCTAAAAATATATTCATTAAGGCTTAATGAAGGTAAAATAAGAGTAATATAATATGAGTTTTTATTGATTGAATTAAAGAGCAGAAATGCTCCACAAAATTTTCTGATATTTTATCTTTCCTCAATCTAACCAATTAAATGATTTTAAACACTTTAGTTGTATAACATAAGAGTTATCGGTTAGATATTCAAGCCTATTATAGCTTATTCCTCTTAAAGTGAAATAAATATTGAAATTATTATCTGATACTAATATGATTAACTCATTGTTATTTATTAGAATTTCCTTAAAACCACCAATCCATAATGGTAAATAGAAACTTTCTCAAGAAGACTTAATACTGATAATATCTAAATAAATCTTAGAATAAAATATGAACCAGATTAGAAACTTGAGATCGAAAAAAAAGTAGAACAATTATATTAAGAAAGGAATAAATTGATAATTTAGGATATAAATTATTGTAATCATTAAATAACTCAATTATTTATAATCAGATGATAAATAGGACTAGTCAGTTCAATTATTAGTTATGCTATTACCCATAAATTCAACCATATAAATTCTTCATATATAAATAGAATAAACTGATTCTTATGTATTAAAAGTTACTTCAAATTAATTAATATATTATTTAAAATATATATATATTTCAATTCTTTTATAAAAAGGTATAAAATCAAAATTTAAGTTTTGCCAATAGATTCAAAGCATTTTACCCTTATGGATAGGGTATAAATCAGTAATTTTAGCAGGTATATTATCAATGCGAGGTAATTACTCTGATTCAATTGTATGCTCTAACAAGGCCTAGACTATATATTTAAAACATGTTATTCTTCACACAAAAGTTAATTGTACTTTAGAAAATAAGAGAATCATTATGTTCCAACAATAAACATAAACTTTTAAAATACCATTTGGATTTCAGATTAATCTTTGAATTAAAGTCTAAATCATGAGTTGTATTATATTTCAATTTATTTAGTACTGTGTTTAAGTTAATTAAATTTAAAATTATTTAAATTTGATCTCAATATTAAGTTGCCTATGATTTATACAAAAAGGCAATTAGATTAATTTGAAATTTTAAATGCATCTAAATATGATAAGTGTATATTAATTATATAATAGCGGTATGAAAATTTAAGTAAATTAAGAACAAATTAAGGTTCAAAAATGATATTTTGAGCTTTAATTTATGGATAAAATTCAGCCATAAAAGTAACTATAATCAGAATAGATATTTTATAATTAATATTAAGTAAAATAAATTAATTAATAGATAAGGCCTTGAGTTTGTTTGCCAGTATTTTGGATCACACAAACAAGTCAAATTCAACAATATTTGATGACACACAAGAATATGTTTATCTGCCATCATTTTTTTTTCTCACCATATGTAAAAGGGTATTTAAATAATTTATGACTGCTTTTAATGTCTTTCAGACCTAAGTAGAGGATTCTTAATAAAAAAATTGCATTATATTCTACTTGCATCCATTTTCCTTTAGAAATCTTACTTTATTTCAAAAATATTAAATTTATTGCAAATTCATACTCATAAGATTTATATTATGAATGAGTTTGTTAATGAGTATATCTTTTTCCTTTATGGCTAATAACAATCAAAGGACTCTGTATTAGTTGATATAGCGTAATTTAACTCTTAAGTTTATGTCATTCCTATTTAATGACTTTTATTAGCATAGCCAAAATTTTTCTCTAATTAATTAGGGGATCAAAATTTTACAGGATGCTTTCCATTTCTTAAAACCTTCCAATTATTTATGATTAATCATAACTGCTATAGTATTTATATCGTCTTGATAGCTGAGAAAAAGGTACTCCATTCACAAGGGAATTTTTCTTACTTAGATGAACTAACCAAGTAAATATTAGAGAAATTAACAATTTTTGTTTCATAAAATATTGATCTAAAATTTTAAAATCTATAAAAGGGGTAAAAGTAGTGCTAGGTCTCGATTAATCTATTATATTTATTATAGCTATATTAACTCTAAAATTAAGGGAATTAATTTTATCTACTGATAAAGAATATTTCATTTAAGAAATATTCTTTATATTTTTATCACTAATCTGAATCGCCTTACATTTAGGATTTTAGCCAAATTTAGAATATGGGTCAATTAAATCCAATTTTATTAACATGTTTAGACAAAAAAAAATGAATAAGAACAATCATCATTTTCAAAACGAAAAATATTAAATACACCTTTCTCTACATCATTGTAAAATTTATTAATAAAATAATCTAAACAAACTTTCTCCTGTTAAATTGCAAATCTAAAGTTTAGACATAATGATCTGAAGCAACGAACAATAACATTAAAAAAATATTTTCAAAATATAAGTTGGAGGTCAATCAATTCAGCATATCACTACAATTCTCTGATATTTCTAGCCATGTTTTATGAATTATACAATCGTTTCAAAGTATTACAATATTGATGCCTTAGCTATGATAAATATCAATATAAAATACAGGTAATCATGTTCTTTTCCTAAACATTACTTTTTAAGATTAATATTCAATTACCTTATAATTATTTTTGAGGGTTAGTATCATTTCAACATTATTCTACTACCAACTCATTTCATCCTTTGCATTTGGTTAGCATCAATATCATTAAAATGTGAAGGTTAAGATTGAGATTGACAAGAGAACTCAATTGCAAAATTAATGAAGCAATTCTTTTTCAGGCAATTTTGACCAGAATTTTAAAGTTATAAAATCAACTTCATCTTTGGTGAGTATCCAACATTCTCTATCTATTCTTGGCTCCAATTATTTCATAAAGGAATACCGTTTTATGTGCCGTTAGTTAATCATAATCATTTATATAATTAATGAAAGATTTATCGTACTTAAGTGTTAAAATTAATAGAAAATGCAGGATTTTTGAAAATCAATTATTTTGAATTTTTATTCTCTAATAACTAACATATTCCTAAAAATATTGCCCCCCAAATAATCACCCTCACCCTTAAAAAGTTTATAGATACACCACTCTCTTCATGAGTCTCAGTCATACAATTAACCTTATGGAGTATTTTCTTCTTTTCAAAATTTGATTGAACTTCACTGCCATCCTTACAAGAGATTTGTAATCAACTTGCTGCTTAGTTTCTCAAAACAATCGCAACATCATCAACCTTCTAAAGCATTTAGATTAACCTCAAATATCTGAATTTCTCTTCTGCACATATTTTATAGATTAGCACTCAAATTTTGAAGTCCAATTCTTCTATTGATATTAAATTACTAAGAACTCAAAGCAGAGTTTGATGCAATCTATTCTTAAACTTCACCTTAAA